GAAGATCATCGCAAAACAAGCCTTCCTTTCGAGTACCCTTCCATAGCAGGTTCTTTTCTGAGTACCAGGGCGCTATGCGCTCTTGCAAGCACGCACTTTAGAGCAAGGTGCAAGCAAGAAAGGAACAACACATAGCGAAGGACATGTGTACTTGACAAAGGGGGGCGACCCGTCTAGTCCAAGCAGCGCCGAGAGCTGTCGGCAAATGCCAGTGATCAAAGGGAAGAAGACTCTCAAGACCTGCGTAGACCAGCAATGTGTTCGCAGCTGGAATGGTGGATGAGCACACCGCCAGCAAGCTACGGCAAGGAGATGCGCAAGCACTAAGTAGGACAACGACCTCTTTTCGCCATTCGCAGCGCTGTGAGCCAATAGGAATGAGAGCCTTAGCTCCTCGTTCCTAACAGGCGGGTGGTAGAGAGTGGCAATGGAGGATGCCCAGGGGGAACCTTAGTTCCCTTTGTTGATGTCCGACATTTCCAATTTTGTACAAAGAGGTACAGATACCATGCTAGGATAGTCCAAAGTTTCACCTGTCTCACACGGGCCTTGCACGCAGCAGATCACTTTTTGCAATGACGCAGCACTTCACGGATTTTGGAGACACCCCGTTTTGGCACCTTTGTGCGCCGAAGGGTGCTGAGTTGACCTCCCTTCGGGGAGGTGTGCCCTTTCGCACCCTTACCTGCAGGCTTTCGTCGTTTGCTATGGCCGCCACTGTTTGATCACCGACTGGTAACATGCCTCTGGACTTGTAAGTGCAACCAGTTGCATGGGTTGTGCTACAAGAAAGGTTTTTTCCACGGCATGCAGCATAGCTACCGCTACTCCATTTTGACATGGATGCAACCGGCGTTGGAGCATTGCGATACTCCTGACCTGCATCGTGACCATGGTTTTGCCGCACTGTGGTGTGGCCGCTGGTCACTAGTAATCATGAAGTAAAGTCCATTTGAAGCCTTTTTGGAGACTTTGCTAGAGCACAGACCTGCGCTGCTATGCTTTTCGTTCGAGAATTCAGGCCCATTGATAGTCATTAGTTTTCGTTTCACTTGTTTAACCTAGCACAGAGGAAAGACTACAAGATGGTGGAGACTCGGCCTGTGGGCTGTGGTTTGTTTGGTTTTGGGTGCGTTTGGTTGTCCTTGTTCTTTTCTCCACCATCTGACTGTTCTTCCCTTCCTTCAACGATGACCTGGGCACCATGCCCACACGGCGTCCGTACTCGTGGAAAAAAAGCAGTGCTTTCTGTCTGGATGCTGCCCTGCTCAAAGTTGCCGAGCGCTGTGGCTAGCCGAGTGTAACGGATGACAAACCGTCCAAACCCTTGCGCAAAAGGATAAGTGGTTTCCGCAACTGTGTCTTCTTCCTCGGTTGCTACGTCTGTTTCTACTTCCGGCAGTTCGACACCTCCCACTGGCACTGGTTTTGCGCGTATCTGGGCGATCGTTCTCTTGATCCACTTGCAGGAGAATCTGTGTCCGACTCTTCAGCCTGCGAGTCTGTTGGGGGTGCTTGGCCTCTGCAACATTTCTCCATAGCGGGACTTCAATACGCAGCTTCAGTTGCAGGAGGATGGGAAAGACATAGCTTGCCCCAGCGACGGGTCAATGGCACCATAGGTACATGCCCTCGCCGCCCAGGACGTGTCCGGCGTGCGGGGGTAGCGGTCATATATGATTTTCTTGTTATAAACTCCTACCACCAGGAGGGGATTGTCTTCCTCCCCTTGCTTACGGGGTCGGTAGCCGCAGCCACCCTTCACTTCCACCGACGCAAGACGTTGCTGCTCCATGGCTGTGACAAGGGCTGGAACCAACTGCACCGGAAAACAAACAAAAAGATCATTGATGGGCAGAGTTTGTTCTCCATACTCATTCCTCGCACAAACGACATGACGACAGTCTGCATAAAGGTGAGCGCATCCACATCCTTTTCGCTAGACTTTTCCTGCTTGGTCAGGGCTGCCCTTGCTGCGCCTGCCATTTGACGCCTGTATTGATTATTATGGGAACAGCACCTGGAGACAAAGGCGAAGAGGCCGTACTGCCAGAAGAGGGGGTTCGCCTAGAGCGCTAACTGGTCTTGGGGTATGAAGAAGCACAATTTGTGTCCTTGCTTGGCAAAGGCAAACAGGTTTGCCAGGGGTGCAGCAAATGCCTCACTGATGCGGCGCAAGTCCGCGATGTAGTCACGGTTGATTTCTTCTGGGATATTCCCAAAGGGAGTGCCATGGAGTGCGCTTTCTGCCACCCTCCGCCAGAGGAATGTCCGGACTAATCGGTTAACTTGCTTGTTGGAGACGCACAACCTCGCCCTGGGCCATTCACGCGGGAGGTCGCTGTACAGCTGTAGCGAGGGTAGTGCTATTCCTTTCATGTCAGCATCAGCAGCTGTACCGAAGGCTAACTGGAGTGCATGCAGCGCCTGCATGGCTCTCTGCTCTGCTTCTAACTGTATATAAGTGGCAGCAGCGCTTCCTCTTTCTACATTCTTTTGGTCATTGTCCAGGTCAATTTCTGTCATGGCTCGGGGGTGTTTCCGTGCCTCTTCCGGCTGTTCGGATGGCGAAGCTGGGTCCTTACTGACTGGGGACTCTTGCATTTGGTCAGCTGGGTCAGCAAGGTCCTCAAGCGTGACCGTCTGTTGACCATGCTCCGGGATGCTGCCTAATAGCAGCTGGGAAGCCTGATCTGCTGATTGCCGAAGCTTCTTGGATTGACCCCTGCCTGCACTTGCTTTTGGCCCTGGTCTTCGCTTAATCGGCGTCTCCGAGCAATGTGACGGGAAGCTATCATCCTGGGGATCAACTCCTTGCGGTGGGATCGCACTACAATCCTTTCTTTTCCTCCAGCATTTCATTATTGATGGATTCTTCTTGAGATATGGATGTTAAATCTTTTTGTTTGGATGTCCAAAAAACATTGAGAATGAGTAGTCTCCAAAAAGCTTTGGAGAAGTTGATTTGACCTTGGCCCATGCCTTTCTAAAGCGCATGGGACCTGTTGGACAACAGGTGCCACAGTGGAGCCCACGTCTTTCTAAAGTGCATAGGACCTGTTGGACAACAGGTGCCACAGTGGACTATAATGTCATCTTAGATTTACGATGCTGAGGGGTGTGAGGAACATTGACCACAAACTCTTGCTGCCTATCTGCCTGAGTGGCATTTATAATACTAATACCTCTCGTTTTTAACTTTGTCATGTCCAAGGTGATAGAAGTGAGAAGTGAGCTTGTTTCAAACCCTGAGGCCTGGCAAAGCTCCCAAAAGAAATGCAACCAAGAACATGAGACACCACTGGTTCCAATATCTTAGTGAGGTTGGAATCGAAGCTTCTCTGAATGGGGCGTGGAGTTTTTACCTGGCCTGCCACCCCTGGCTAAGTTCAACATGCGCAACCTGGGTTTAGACACGAAGTGGTATGAGGGGAACATCAACCACGCGCGCGTAAACATGTAGTGAGAATGTATATAGCATACTGAGGGTTTTTTAATTATGGTTAGAAACTGGCACGCGAGTACCTGGCAGCCAAAACCAAACAGCTCTGGCACACCAAATGCTTGCAGTCAGCTTGAAGCTGGCACACAAGTACCTGGCAGCCAAAACCAAACAGCTCTGGCACACCAAGTGCTTGCAGTCAGTTTCAAACTGGCACACGAGCACCTGACAGCCAAAACATATTTAGCTCTGGCACACCAAGCACTTGCAGTCAGCTTCATACAAATATTAGTGTTTTATGTGGTTTGGTGCGGATACCCAAGGCACAGCTGTGACAATGAATGCAATGGACTGACTCGAATTGAGGAATGAATGAAAAACCCAAAGTGTTCACACACGGTGGCGAAACAACTGACACAAGAGCGACTGGTAGTGGAGAGCATCCTTTTTACTCGGTCTGAGTTGCTTTGTCCTGTTTACCAGGCTTTGCTGATGGTGCCGCACCAGAAGTAGAAGCCATGGCATTTGCCTTCCTTTTGCGCTTTTTGCGCTGGGCATCTCTCTTGTTCTTCCTTTTTTTGTATTTCTGGAGTTTTTCTTCTGCTGATTCCAGTGTAGACTCTTTGTTGCCAGAGCTGTGGGTTGAACCTGGGGTGGCAGCCACTGCAGCAACTCGTGTTGGGCCACCAACATCTCCCCTGTGGTTCACGCGCTCAGACTCAGGTTCACCATTTCCAGCCGGCAGCACTGTAGGTGGCAGTATTGTTGGAGTCTCTGATGCCTCAGTGTCATCATCTTCATCATCTGCAGCAGCCCGAAGGTCAACAGTGACTTCACTCAGACTGTCTGAGTCGCCCATGGCTTCAGCAAGAACCGCGAGCTCAAAGGTTCTCTAAACGCCAACATGCAAGATGTTGGATTTAGTTTGTGCATGGTTGTCAATGTCACCGCAAAGGTGTTGAGCTATGATCCATGAAGTCTGTGGCTTTGACATTCATTTAGACGAGGTTCATTCCAACAGCTTTGGAACCATGCTGCTGAGGGCACGATGACCACAGTCATAAGGACTATACATCTTCCAAGGCATGTGACTTCAACAAGCTCTTTTGGTCACATTGAAAGTGGCCAATGCAGGAAACACGCCATTTTGATTTCTGGTTGCTGCTATTCAGTATCATTTTGCCCACCTCACTCCGCTGGTCGAAAGTTTCCGTAGGCTGTGAGGGGCTCATGGTGAAAAATTGCAGGTGGAATGAACAGTTGTTGTTTGCTGCTACTCTCCATTCGAACAGGATTTGAAAAATCCATGAGTCACCCCCGTTGCAATCAGATCATGGGCCCCAGTTGGCCATGCAGCGCCTAGCAAAACACCAGTGGTAAATGGTTCTGACTCTGGAGGTGAAAAGGAAGAAAGCAAGGTGATACCAAAACAAAATACCAACGTCGATAGTGATATTGTCATACCATCTAAAAATATGTGGTTTGGCGCTGCTTTCCGCAGATCAGCTTTGAAGAATTGAATCAACTGGTGATAAAATGACCTTCGGTGGTGGCCGCTTCAAGATGGCTTAGCCAAAAGTAAAGACTGGCCTGGACCGATCGATGCACTGCCGCGGAGAAACACAGCCGGCTTCACAGGAATGAGTCCCTTGACCGGGCTTGCTTTCACATGCCACAGCACAGTGCAACTGGCACTGTTCTCCCACAGCTGCAGCTTCTCGCGGCAGCCAGCGTTGAACTCCTTCATCTCGCCACTCTTCTCCTCTGGGCGGGGCATGAAAACCACTCTGTGTGTCTTGCACACAGTGAACTTGTGAGGGTCATCGGTGTCAAAGGTGAGCTTGTAGTATGTCACCTTGGTCTCCGGGTTTTTCTTGCGGAGCTCTTTCAGCACATCACCCAGTTTCTGGACCACATCCTTGTAGCAAACCAAGTCATCAGAACCGGACAAGCTGAATTCAATGGCTCCGTCAGGAAGATCTGCATCCATCTTGATGATCTTGAAAGAGCCTTTTCCGAATCCACAGACATTGGATTCATTCCCAGCCCATTCCTTTTGCCCCTTGTTGGTGAGGGCAATCAGATTGTTTGCTCGGATCTGCAGCCACATGCAATCCTTGTTCCCGCAAAGGTTTCTCAATGGATTCTGTTGAAACGATGTTGGAGGAATCCAAAGTCACACGTGGCTTCTTGGGCGTCACGCCGGCTGTCTCCTCTGCACCTCGCTTGTTTGGATCAGATGGTGTTCCGGTCTCAGCTGTGGTGGCCTTGGTCTCCACCACTGAGTAGGATTCACAAAAGGCGTCCAAGAACTTTTGAAACTGGTTGCCAACCACAGCATGGCCACGCCATTGCTGCACCAATGAAGCTGGCATGCCTAACTTTCCGGCCTGCGCCACCTGGCAGCCAACTTAAAAAAGCTGGCAAACCAAGAGCGCCGTGCCTAAAAAAATATTGGTTCTTCGATGGGGTGAAGAGGCATGATCCCATCAATATTGAACCCCCTGCAAAAATATAACAGTTGTTCTTTGAGAGGATGAAAAGGCATGATCCCATCAATATTGAACCCCAACACTAATTTTAAACAAATGCGCGTGTTTAAACTAGGTTTGAATAATATGATGTGGAAACAGTATATTAAAGGAAGATTTAAATGTCGCAACGAGGAGCAAGAACGTTCACGCGGGGAACGCCAGGCAAGCTCTCAAGCAAGTCACTCGGGACATTCTCTGCCAGTTTCTCTCCAGTTGGCAAAGGGTGGCCTTGGGCATACATGTCTGCCAAATTCTCTTTCATCAACTGCTCCACATACATGGTCTCATTGGCGTCTTCACAGAAGCCAAGGTAGAAGGTGTTCGGGCGTGAGCTTCGCAAAGAACAGAAAGCCTGCAACATGTCGCCAACACCGACATGCAAGTCCAACAGCAACACGGCTGGGCCAACTTCATCGTGAGTGGACCCTCGCAACACTGAATCCCAAAGTTCTTTGCAAGCAGGGGTTCCCAATTGGGAATACTTGCTGGCTCCTTTCACACGGTTGGAATGGTCAGTGGTGTCAGGAACTGAGTCTGGGTCCAAATTCTCAATCTCTTTCATGTCCTTGGCAGCAAGTTGCGGGATCTCAGACGTGCGTTGCAAACGCCGAAGGTCACATGTCCAGAAGCAATTCTTGGCAAGGTCCAAAGGGCTGGGGTAGACAAAGCGACCATTGTAGCACATTGGCCGCAAGTCTCGGGAATCACATTTCTCATTGAACAAAGCTGCAAAAGTCCAGTCCACATTGTGGTTGCCACGACAAAGCGCATCCAACAGACTCCGTTCTTCAAGAACCAAACGTCCTTTCTGGTAAGTGAACACTGGTTGCAAGACCATGGCCACCGATTGCATGTTGTCAGCCAGGGCCCAAGTCAAGAGTTCCACAGCATTGGTCTGAGTCGTGCTGGAGTGTAAACATGGGGCTGTGGAGTTCAAGAAGACAACCTGGGGGATCTGTCCCACATGGTCAAGGCCCAACTTGGCCATGATGACTTGTCGCTTGAAGTTCATCGCCTCAGCAATGTTTTTTTCAGCCTTCTTATCCCAAGACAGAATCCGACAGCAGCTTTCCATGAACAACTCAGCTGCTTCTAAGCATTGGTTTCTGCGGTCAACTTTCCATTTGAAGCTAGCATGGTCCCTTGAAGCCTGGACTGCAGCAATCTTCTTTTCATAGGTCTTGAACACCTGCTCATCGTATTCGATCTGTTTGACCAAGAGGTTGTATTCATCCCACTGCAGACTTGCTTCTTGGTGCTGAGTCTTGGCCATCGGCTTTGTGAAGCAATGTTCATCACTCAAGCGCTTGAAAGTAGGAATCTGTCGCAAGTCAAGGCTGTCAGATTTTTCCAAGATCAGGCCATCCAATTCGATGTCAATCTTGCTGTCTCCAGAGCTCCATGCTTCCAGCCACTCTTTCTGGGCCTTGACTGGGTCGACCGGGACCATGTTGAGAAATTCCTCCAGCAAATTGACAGCCACAGCTGCCTTCAAAGAAGTCTCTTCAACCTGATTCACATCAGGCTTCTGCCGGAAGTGCTTCTGCTTGGCCAAGAATCTGGTTTGCAAGAACTCAACAGCCAAAGCCATGCTGGTCTCAGAGGTCTTCATTCGGGCATACCATTTCTTGGAACGTGCTGGAAACTGGAATTTTGGATACAGTTTCTTGCTCGACAGATTATCATCCGTCCAAGTGCTGTTTTCCCACCCCAGCTCCGACACGTGATCCAAAATGACACTGAGCACAGCCTGCCAAAACAATGAACGATCTAGATCAGTAGCAGAATCACAGTATAGAGATGTATAAAGTGAACTGAACTTATAAAACCTAACTTTGTCCACATTTCAAAGAACAGAAACATGAAAACACGATTTGAAGGAATGGGCCCTGGCCTTTGGCGCTTCTTCAAACAAGAGCCTCAATGCCACATTGCGCTTCCCAACAAATTGGAATTGTTTAGCAGCTTGGCTGTTCCACTTTCTGATGAAGGCCATGTGGTCTGTGTGGCCCATGCTGTGCAGGTTGGAGATCATCATCACTGCCTGCACCAAATTGGTCGGTTTGCGAAGGGAACCCCGGCATGACATCTTCATGTTAGTCAATGCCTCTTCCATTCGAGATTCCGGCTTCACATGGAAACAGTGCAATCGCAGCACTGACTCGTGAAGATGCGGCAACTCCTCACGGACTGGAATGTGCATCACCCAAATGCGATGCAAAAGGAAGAGCAAAGAAGTAGCCCTGGTGAAGCCTTTCAAGTATCCCAAAGAAAAGGGCGGGAGCTGGTCCATCATGGAGGCAGAGTCTTGCCACAAGTCTGGGAGAGCAGCCTGGGTCTTCTTTCCCACAATTCGTTCCAAAACCAAAAGCGGACCACAATCAGTTGTGGAGGTCAGGAATCCATCAACCAAAAACTGCTCCACCAGTGCAAGACATTGGCTTTGGCCAGGCATTGGTTTCAAAGAGCATGTTGGATCATATCCAAGAGCTGCAACATGAACCAGCAAAGGTTGGCTGTTCGAAGTGTCTGATTCCTTGGTCACTGGCAGCCCTGAAGTATGCTGATACAAATACTCATCGGATTCTGGGAATTGCTCCCACAACCAGTTGCCAAAGCCCACTAACTCTGAGTCAGCTAGCAAGTTGCGCCTCAAGTACTGCACTGGGCCACCAGCCCGCTTCAGCTGGGCTGCAGTGTCCTCAAGCAAGAGCTCTTTGACAGACCTACTGGCTGTGGGCGCCAATGGGATGGCGGATGATGTGTCATCCAGGTCCATGTCAGTGAGCGCTGTGCTTAGGTCAGAAGGTTCTGTTTTGGCCACAGTGCCTGGGCCAAGCGAAGCCTCCTCAGCTGGCTCCATCCAAGGAAGGACAAGCGAAGTGTGCAGATCAGCAAATCCGCCTGAAGGGCGTGGCCCACTTGGAGCCTAAAGGCAGGTGAGCACCTGCAAAAAATGCTTCTCCACAAATGGTCAAACACAAATATATTTTTAAAGATCTGGCATTGTAAGAGTGTAAGGTGAGATCCAGGCCATCTGACTACTGTAACTTTGGATCGTTGAGATCGGCTGATTTCATTTGAAATCTGGCTAACTGCCCAAATCCACCCTCAAGTGAGGTCATCCAGGCCTCCATTTTCCCGCTGCTCTTTTGGGCTGGTTGTCTAACATGCTGGCGACTTAGGCTGATTTCATTTGAAACCTGGCTATCTCGGCTTGGCAGTTCTGCAGTGTGGTGTTAGGCTGGAACCACCTTGAAAGTAAACAAAACTCTCGCGAAATTTTTGGTGTAACGTTTAGGGTTTAGGGTTTGCAAAGTCTAACTCTAGTCTAGTTCTCCCTTGTTACACTCTGCCCTAGCCAAAACAAGCAGCCGCCATCTTACTGTTTGCAGTCTGTCATAGTTTGGCTTTAAGCCAAAGCTAAAGACTCACGAAGCAACTGTACCAACCCAGGCGGGTAAGTTTGGCGCCATTTGCTCATTGAGTGCCCGCGCTCAGAGCCTTCAATGGGTCTGTGTTCGTGATTTTTGGGGCACTGGCGTAGTTTCAATTTCTCTGCCAAAACCCAGCAATTCGTGAGAATTGTTGTCCTTTTGCGTACAGGAAGGCCAGCTGGAGATTTCATGCCCACTGTGCACATATCGAAGGTTACAGTGTGCACTTGTGGATGGTCTTGGATTGCACGAACACTTGGCAACTCCCAAGAAGCAGCCCGCCATGGATGCTCATACATGAATTTCCGTTTCTTTTGGATCTGTATTCTTGCACAAGCCATAGAATGGTCGATGTAGCCAACAGCTTGGTTCCACCTTCGTGTCCAAACTTCGCGGCTCATCCGTTTGTAGTTGAACAGCCGCTGCAGCTCTGAAAACATGGTGCATGGAGGGCTCAGGCACAGAAAGACAATCATTAGCTTTGAGAGCAAGTCTTTGGACAATGCCTGGACCGCAACGAAATCAAAGTCCCAGCCATTCAAAATATCTAAGCTCAAACAAAAAGTGTTGGGAGCACATTGTTCTCCACCCAATACCCGTGGAACCGAATATAGTTCCATGCCTCTTTTTTCTTGGCGTTCTTCTATGGAGAGGTTTGCAAGCCAATGTTTCACTTCTGGTGGTCCAGGAACTTTTCGTGTATCAGGAGCCATGTTCACATCGGAGTCTGAGTCAACTGGTGACGGGCAAGAGACTTCAGAAACAGAATGCGAATCTGAAGGCGAAACAGGTGTTTGGCCAGAATCTGTCATAGCCGGGCCATCTAATGAAAACTCACCAGACCCCACAGGCGATGGCAAACTCACCTCTTCACATTCGGAGCCAACATCAGATGGCAACGATGGTGTGCTGGAAGTGGGCATCACCACACCACCCAGGCCATGGCCCAGTGCTTTGCCCCGAATGAATGACACTGCTACCCAATCCAAGTTCTCAAACTTTCCGACCCCCCAAAAAAATATGACCAAATCCGATATCATGAACTGATGATTGTCTTGGTCCACCAAGCTCGCAAGTTGGAAATGGAAACCTGACCAAGGATGGCCTGAATGCTTCAGTTCATTCATTGGCTTGGGCAAAAAAAGTGCACAAAAACTGCATTTGTGAAAAACTTTGCGCAAACTGGTCCTGGAATATCTTGTCAAATGTTGAAAGCAAGAAACGTTTAGTGACCTGGTGGTGTCAAAACAGACCAGCGAATAGCTAAATATGACCTTTTCCTCACAGAAAGTGGCGGTGATACCATGTGTGAAAGTGACAGCATTGCTTTGCAATGTGACACGGCGGCATGAGTTGGTCACTCAACATCTTCACCAATTCGATAGACCCAACCTTGGGTAGATCTCCGGAAGCCTTCAGCACGATTGTCTCCTTTTGCGCGGCACATTTTGCATCCAATCTTGGCAGTCTGTTTCTTTCTGCGTTTTGAGCATCCAAAATAAAGAAACCCTGGCCGTCCCTTGATGGCTTCCACACTGTCCAACAAAGGGCTGGAAGGCTGCGCAGAACCATGATCTTCACCGATGTCCTCTGCATTTGCAGCCGGGGGTTCGAAACTTGCAGCAGCCACAGGTCCTTCCTCCAAACCTGCTGCGCTTGAAGCAGCCAAAACTTCTGTGGAAGCAGCAGGTCTTTTGATTTTCTTGGCGGAAGCTGGTCCATGTACTTCATCGGCCGCTGTTGCTTCTAGGCTAGGAACTGCAGCTGCAGCTGGACGAGAAAAAACAGCAGCAGCTGGCCTTTTGACCACGACTGTGGTTTTTGCCTTTGCTTTCACTCTGATTTTTCTGGGCGGCGCTTCTTCAGGCAATGGCACCTCTTCAAATGTTAGTGGCTCAATCTGCTGAACACGGTGTCCCAAGTCAGCTTCTTGGGAGAAAACCCAGACAAGGTCTGGAGGCGCATCCACTGTGTCATTCTCATTGTCATCGCAAAATTTCTCCAAAAAAGATTGGGCCTCCAACAGATTCCAAGGGTTGCTTCCCACAAATTTGGCTGTCTTTCGAAACTCAGCCAAGGTGGTAGGTCCAAGAGGGTTGCGGTGCATAGGGGTCAACTCTGATTTCTTGAAGCCTTGCCACACATGAGTGGGCATGATCAACTGTGGCGCTTGTGAAATATCCCTGTCTGACATGAATTGCTTGAAAGTGACGCAAACGTCATCTGGATCTGAAGGATGGTTTTGCCACCTTGCGTGTTCACATTCCACTGGCCTTGCGTCTGTCAACAAGTCTCGGCGGCAAAATCGCCACAGGTGATTGGCCCCTTCTTTCTTTGTAGAAACAAGGCCAGAAATTTCGCTCTCGGTTCCCAAAGCCAACCATTGCTTGAAGTTCCAGGTGTTATGGACAATCTCTACATGCATTCGGCGACCAGCTGAGGGCACCATGTGCTGCTCGAGGTGACTTTTGAGGTCTTCCAAACTCTGAAGTGACTCGGCCCTTTTCACCACACTGGCCATTGAAGAGAATCTCTGGTCCAATTCATTATGCGTATGGGAGACTTGCATAAATTGCACCTCGCAAAATGAAAACATTTTGCTGGTCAAATATGCCATCCATCCTGCAAAGATTGCATTTTTTCCTTCGCGAGGGGTGTTGTCAATGGCCACCACGAGAGAAGATGGCAAATCAAAGTCTGGGGACATGTCTTTGAGAAAATCTCTGGCCAAATCCAAGGCACGGCTGAGAAGTGTGCATTCCATGGATGAGTCCTTGGGGATATCCATGGGCAACAAAAAATAGATCTCAGCAATCCCCCAAACGATTGCTCCTACCACGTGCACGTTACTTTTCCAGCTTTTGCCATATTCCGCTGTGCCATTTAATCGCTTTGCTCTAGGCATAGAAAACTTTTGCTGGTCCATGCCATCCAACATTATCTTGATAATCCTTGGTGGCGGGTGCTTGGCTGGAAATTGGCAAGCTCAGAACCTTTGATGTTTCCACGAGTGTTGACTGCCCTGTCTTTCTTTGTGATATCCAAATGGGCCTGTTTTTGCATATCTATTTCAAGCCTTTCTGTTTCAGTGCTGGCGTTGCACCGCTCCTCCTCAAGGCGGAGGCAAATTGTGCACTTGTTCCCCCCAGAAGGAGATCTGAGGACCAGAAACTTGTGCCAGCTTCGACCATAGCAACGATCAAAAGTGCTTCTGGACACAGCCATTGCTTCACCAACATCTGCCTTGTAAAAACGATAAAACTCCAAGAGGGTGGAACAATTCACAAAGCGCTTCCCAGCAATTCGCTCCTCATTTCTCCCCGCGCCTGCTAGAAAGGACAAAGACATCAGTGGATGTGAAGTGCCATCCACGATCTCATGTTGCTGCACCATTTTGGGTTCACTGTATGAAGGCATTCGGTCTTCAGAGCCCTCCACAGCTAGGGGCTCGGCAACGTTGCAGTAAACATCCAGAAACCACAAGCCGACACGGTCCGTTGTGGGCTCTGGTTTGGGAGCCCTAGGACTTGGCTTTGGCAATGTCAATTGCCCATTTCTGCAAAGTTTCAACCATTTGTCCACTTTGCTTGAACTCATGGAATGCACCGTTTGCCAAAACCTGCGGCAAACTTTTTGATCTTTGAAAGACCATTGGATCCCTTTCTTTTGCGACTCTTCATCATTCTTTTGGAACATTTGCTTGAGGCATTCAAATTTGCGATCTTGGATCTGTTTTCTGTCCGGGTTGCCTTCCTCCCATTGCATTTTGTAGGTCTGGATCTCTTCTTTTTGAAATTTTGTGGCGCACTGTTGTTTGCAGCAGGATGTCATGTCATTCTCAATCTCACTGTTGACAGATTCAGGAAGGGATACATCGTCGTCATCGCGACTTGCGTCTTTGTCACTTGCTCCTGGCTCTGTCTGCACTGGAGAAGGCACACTCAGAGTTTGGCTGCCATCATCATTGATGGAAACTGTTTCAATTTCCATCTTGCAAGAGATGCGAAGCAAAAGTGAACTGAACACGACATCATCAATGTCTTGGTTTAAAGTTTAAAAAAGTCAACATCCGTTTGGCTATGAAGTGATGTGAATATCCTGGGGCCTGAAACGATTGATCACATGATTGAACCAAAACTCCTGAGCAAAAGGCGGGATAACAGTTGTCAAGTAACAAACAAAAACAGCATGGCAACCAGCTTTCAAACTGGCACACCTCCAACTGGCACTCCAATAAGCTAGATTGGCAGCCAGTTGCGTGGCAGCCAGCTCCCAAAACTGGCACCAACAACTGGCAATCCAATTCGCTGGATTGGCAGCCAGCTATGTGGCAGCCAGCTCCCAGAAGGAACTGGCACACCCACAACTGGCCATCCAACGCCCAGCGATTTGGCAACCAGTCATTCGGCAGCCAGTTTCAGGAACTGGCAGGCCAGCAACTGGCCACCCAATCTTTGCAAATTGGTAGCCGGTTGATGTGGCGGTCAGCTGTCAAACTGGTCAGCCAGCCCTCAGGTTGGCAGCCAGCTATGTACTGGCAAGCCAGTCCTGATGTTTTAGGAAAAACCTGACAAAGCACACAAAGCCTTGGGCTGAAGTCAAACGAAGTTTCATTCGTTTTGTCGCTGCATAGTCATGATTTGCACACAATTGTTTTCGACAGCAACGTGTGTGTAAAATGCTTCTGGCGCACCAGGAAAATTGGCATTGAAAGAGCCACAAACAGTTGCGTTTGTCTGTTTACGGCCACATGCCTCTGCGCAATCTAAGCAATGCGTCGGCGTTTGATTGCCTTGTTCTGCGAACGAATTTCATTCCAAAGCAGGCCCTTGAGCTCCTTAAACTTTACTTCGTGCAACTCGGGCCAGTGGTTTTCATACAAAAATTTGGCGTCCTCACTCAAATCAACCACTAAGGTGTAGAAAACAAAGAGTTTCTTCCAAGCCATCATCTCCTCGTTCGAGGTTGCTTGGAGCAAGGCCTCCATAGTTGCGTCTTCCCAAAGTGGTGGAGGTGGGCAATAAATAGCCTTGAACGTTTCCCAACCAAATGGCTCGGCTGGTGGCAATGGACCCAGACCTGCGAACCAAAATCTGAAATAGAAACATGCCCGGTCAAAGCTGCAACATGGACAGTTGTAAAATGAAACGTTGGAGGTTAACAATCTCCAGCCCAATACTTTTAAATCAAGACCGAGCCTTTTCCAGTCACTGACTTCACCGGCTCCATGCCGTCATCGCTTTCAAGATCAGACATCGAATCTGAATCAGCCGAATGGTGGGGAGTCAAAGTGCTTACATCAGACCCTGGCCCTTCCAAGAGTGGAGTCAGACATGATCGAGCAGGAGGCATGCTGTCGAATTAACAAAAATTGCGCCAAAACGGCTCCGCATCTGCACGTAGCTCCATTTGCTGACAACTTTGGCAGCTCACAACATGGAAACTGTTGGGAAAACAAAAAACTATTTAGTTAATCGACGCGTGTGACCAACTTGCGCCATATTTGGTGTGAGTTTGAAAACAATCCCACTTTTTGAAATATGACTATTATAATGTGTTTATTGTTGTTGTTGTGGTGGTTGTTGTTGTTATTGTTGTTGTTGTTTGCTCTGTTGATTAAGTGTTACAGCTTTTAATATGCACCCATAAGAGATGGGTAAATTACCTTGAAAATAACGATCGACCACCGCCGCGATCACATGACATAGATTTGCACACAATCCTTTTGTCACATGGGCCCTTAGAGGCGACATGGTTATTTTATAGCCAATGTACACTGTCTTGACTGTACATGTCATAGTACAAAGACATGAGCCAAGGTCAAATCAACTTCTCCAAAGCGTCTTGGAGACTATTCAATGTCTCATTTTTTTGGACATCCAAACAAAAAGATTTAACATCCATATCTCAAGAAGAATTCATATTGACTAGCCGTGAGCTGGAGGACGCTGGACGATTGCTAAGGCAGTCACCCGCTTCCTCCAATGGATTGGCTTCCGCTTCTTTATCTCTCATGGGGGAGCAGCCTCTTCTTGGTGGACCGTGCTCGGCAGGGTGGACGGCACTGTAGGGGAACTGAGGACCGAGACAATGTCGTTTGTCTCCTCATCTGTCATAACGGCATCGGTGCCTCAGGCGAGGTCGGCGTTTGGCAGGCTTGGTCATCTGTCTCGGCGGCAATGTCCGAGACGGAGAGTACCTCCTCCTCTGCATTCTGCGGCGGCCAGTAACAGCCTTGTGTCAGGAGGCCAGGATGCGGCGGCAGGACTAGGTCAGACTCTGGGGCGCCGGATCGGCTGTGTTCTCCACGCATCATAAAAGTAAATACGATGCAAGGCTTCAAAGGTGTAATCCTGTGCCGCACGCTGCTCCACAGCATTCATGGATGGTTGATATCGTTGGGAATTTCCTACACTGCACCGCTGTCCCCGGCCAGTGCTATTATGGAGTAGCCTCCAATGTCCGGGTTCTTGTCCGTCTGTGATGACAAGCCATTCCGGCGTAGGCATCTCATCGACCGCATAACCATACACAAGCCCGCGCTCTGTCGTGCCTCCCGGAAGATGTGGCCCACATCGCAGGCTGGAAATTTCAGCCTTTGTCAAATGCGACAGTGTGGCTAAGACGAGGCGTAAGCGCCTTACCTTATGTTGGTGATGCTCTGCCAGACACACTGGCAGGGGGCCAGACCATACTTGATGGGGCATAAGGGCCTAATGGAAGACAGCCGTGGCTTCTTCTAATTGGATCGGCGTGAGATCTAGGAAGCCACGAATCACGCGTTCCTTGTCATCATAGATGTCAATGCTTTGAACGCCATGCAGGAGAGCAGCTAGTACCTGCAAGGCCCCCGGCATTCCTTGCATGTCAAAGGGCACGCAAGGATGGTGAGGTTGGTGGCCTGCTGTAAGCCACGTTTGCCCTGGTGAAGCATTCCTGATCATAATCCAAATCGCCCTTCTCCGCTAAGGAAAGTGGACTCACCATGGTTGACAATGCAGTGTTGGGCTGTGGCACCTGCTACTTTGACTGCCGTTTCAGCGTTAGCCGTCTTCCAGGCAATTTCAAAGTAATTACGCAGATTTTGGGCTGCTTCTCGAGTGGTTGCGAGGGCCAAAATGCCTTCGGTGCCCGTCCGCTCTTGCTAACTCATCTTGAAGGAGCTGGTAGACCTTTACCGTGGGGTTGTTCTTGGGCTCCTTCCTTGCATCTATATTGGGCGAGGCATGGCGCCACTGGGCGAAACGTAGCCCAGAGGCAATCAAGTGATCTTCTCGGATGGATGTGGTGCCTATTTGCCAGGTGTCGCCAACCGGCTGCAAAGCATAGGGCATTGAATTCCTATGAGTGGCTCATAGACTTCTTGGGCAACTCTGGTTAGGCTCCAGCAGTGCGGACTGGCCACACCCGACCTCTCTGCTGCACTTTGCGCTTGTCGAAAGTCTAGCGGGCTGTCAGGGCAGGTGGCCGCATATCCGAGGCCGACCAGGAGCCCTACCGGCAGGTCCAGGTCAACATTGGGGAGATCACTGTAAGTGGACTGCAGCTGACGGGCGAAGGGGGACACAGCCTTGACTTTGTCCGGGCGGAACCAGCAGCTTCCCAAAGGCCTACGGCTGACGGCTATTGCTGCGTCTTCAAGTTCTGTGTGTCCGAAGCCTCGACCGTGGTGGAAAAGCGCCTGAAAGACCCCTGGGAACTCATGTGGCATATACCAGATATTGGGGGCTCGTAGTCCAATAAAACTTTGAGAAGGAGAGTGCGGTGTGCTCTCTGTCCGTCTGCCACTCCACCAGGACTCTGTCTGGGGTCCCCCAGCAGTAGCCGAAAGAAGGCACGGCGTGGGACTGCTGGCGCGAAAGCAGATTTCAAGTCCATGTCCTGCTGCGCCTCTTCACTGATGAGCAGATCAACATTTTCCATATGTGTGTTGAGCGTGGAATGGGTTTGCCCTTTTTGGTCCCAGACTAACCCCGTGGTAACGATGACAACTCTGCACCCTGGGATGTAAGGGGCAGCTTCGCTGGCACGCAGGTCGTAGCTTGCGCAGGCAGTGTTAGCTTCTGCCTCCTCTCTGCTAACCGGCCGAACGAAATATCTCTGGTGATCCGGTTTAAGTTCAAAAGCAGTGAGTAGCTTGGCAATGGCCCTACCCGCTGGGTTCTCTTTGTGCACTACTGCAATTTTGAGATAAAACCGGTCACCCCCTTTGCGGGCTGCATGTAGGAGCCGCCAGGCGTTGAGTTGGCTTCCATCGGGAAGGACCACTGCTCACAGCTCCAGCAACTCAGCCTTTCCCGAAACTTACGCACCATTGAGCAAGAAGCCTTTCTTAAGTGCACCTCGCTGCAAGAAGTCTGCATCCCAACACTGCTTTACATTGCTCGGCGTGCTTTTGCAGGCTGTACGCAGCTTCGAGCAGTTCGTAAACAAGGGAAAACCAAAACATGGCGAGGTACATATGCCCGGCTCAATGCCTTTGACAAATGCGAGCAATTGGACAAGCCCCAATGGCTCCGATTCCTGCCGCCAAATGCCAATGACCAATGGAGAGACGACTTCTAAGCAGCCACACGCTAAGCTGGCAAAGCAAAGGACAGTGGGAATGGACTGCTATTCTGCGGTCTCAATTTTGTGAGCCAGGTTCAAGAAAGCTCAGGCTAAGCCATCCTTTCGGCCCCAGTAACTGCGTTACAGTGAGCCTGTAGGAATGAGAGCCTTAGCTTTCGCTCCTAATAGGCGGGTGGTGGAAAATGGTAATGGAAGGTTGCCAGGGGGAACCTTAGTTCTCCTTGCAGCGGCCACGCCATGACCATTGCTGTACAAAGAGGCACAAGTACCATGCTAGGGTAGGTCCATGTTTCACTGGTTTCACCCGGGCCTTGCACGCAACAGGAGACTTTTTGCAACTCAGTGCCGCTCTCTCTTTTTGAAACAGAGAGTACCACAATGGCACTCCTTGAATGCTAAGGGGTGCAAAGGTGACCTCCCTTCGGGGGGGACGGCGCCATCATCGTCA